CATAGCAAAGAGTATGGCACACAGCCTAAGCAGCTGTATGAAAGAAGAAAACAAACTCCTAGGACTAAACTTTGAAACAGTAACTAAATTAAAGCTGAATGAATTGTAGATAACTCCTGAAAGTATCAGCTTGGCAGCCCTCCACTTTCTTCCCACTCCTGTGTATCATAGAATCATAGAACCACAGACTAGTTTCGGTTGGAAAGACCACCTACTTCCAAAACCCCTGCTATGGGCAGGGACACCTCCCACCAGACCAGGTTGCTCAAAGCCCCATCCAGCCTGGCCTTGAACACCTCCAGGGATGGGGCATCCACAGCTTCTCTGGGCAACCTGTGCCTGTGCCTCACCACCCTCAGAGGAATGAATTTCTTCCTTATATCTTATTTAAACATAACCTCTTTTATTTTAAAGCCATTACTCCTTGAGTTATCACTACACTTGCTGACAGAGTCCCTTCCCAGCTTTCCTGTAGGTCCACTTTAGGTAGTGGAAGGCTGCTATAAGATGTCCCCAGAGCCTTCTCTTCTCCAGGCTGAACAACTCCAACTCAGCCTGTCTTCACAGGAGAGGTGCTCCAGCCCTTTGATCATCCTCTGGACTTTTTCTAACAGGCCCATGTCCTTGTACTGGGGGCTTCAGAGCTGAACACAGTACTCCAGGTGGGGTCTCAGGAGAGGAGACAGAAGGGGAGAATCACCTCTTGCCCTGCTGGCCATGCTTATTTGGTGCAGCCCAGGATACAGTTGGCTTTCTGGGCTGCAAGTGCACATTGCTGGCTCATGTTGAGCTTCTCATCAACCAACACCCCCAGGTCCTTCTTCTCAGGGCTGCTCTCAATCCATTCTGCAGCCAGCCTGTATTTGTGCTTGGGATTGCCCCAGCCCAGATGCAGGACCTTGCACTTGGCCTTGTGTAACCTAATGGGGTTCTCACAGGACCACCTCTCACAGAATCACACAGAATTTCTAGGTTGGAAGAGACCTCAAGATCATCGAGTCCAACCTCTGACCTAACGCTAACAGTCCCCACTAAACCATATCCCTAAGCTCTACATCTAAACGTCTTTTAAAGACTTCCAGGGATGGTGACTCCACCACTTCCCTGGGCAGCCTGTTCCAGTGCCTAACAACCCTTTCAGTAAAGAAGTTCTTCCTAACATCCAACCTAAAACTCTCCTGGCGCAACTTAAGCCCATTCCCCATCGTCCTGTCACCAGGCACGTGGGAGAACAGGCCAACCCCCACCTCCCTACAGCCTCCTTTATGGTATCTGTAGAGAGCAATAAGGTCGCCCCTGAGCCTCCTCTTCTCCAGGCTGAACAAGCCCAGCTCCTTCAGCCGCTCCTCGTAGGACTTGTTCTCCAGGCCCCTCACCAGCTTCGTCACCCTTCTCTGGACCCGCTCAAGCACCTCGATGTCCTTCTTGTAGCGAGGGGCCCAAAACTGAACACAGTACTCGAGGTGCGGCCTCACCAGAGCCGAGTACGGTCCCTCCGGTGTGTTCCATTCCACTCTGTTAAAAGTAACTGATGGAATTTATCTTCCCTTTTCTTGGTGGTGTTAGTTTCCAGCTGTGTTAATCTTACATGAGCACCTGAACCTTAATTCTGATAAACACGGGACAAAGGGAATAAACAATGAAGTAACTCATCTTCAAGCTGCAGCATGCACTTCTGTCCATTGACCGCTAAATCGGATTATTTTGCTAGAAAATGCTTTTCAGTTTAGTTGAATTATTCCTGGTTTTTATACAATTTGTTGAATCACTTGTTAAGATTCTCAGCCTTGTATCAGTTACCTAAAGCAACCGTTTTTTCACAAATAAATAGGTGATTCCTACCAATAGGCATATAAAAATGCAGCAGTAAAAATAGCTGCAATATTTCCTTTTCAGTTAGCAAGAAGTTGTATTGTCAAAATGGTAATAAAGTCCAGAGTTTTAATTTTCTGAACTGATGCTAGCAGCCTGACATATGGCATCTAACAATAGACTGCAAAACATTTCATAAAATAAATTAAGCACAAAAGAGAATAAAGACATACCCCTTCATCAGATACGCAAGCAAGACGATCTACAAGTTCAGGATTAGCTATCAAGCTTTTTATATACTCCTCACCTACAAAAGCACACACACAAATATTTATGCAAGAGAGGTAAAGAATTTAGGCATGAAGACACTGCTGAATAGTGTATCCATGCAATAAATTAAACATACATGCCATTTAACTTACATGTATAAGCAGTTATCCCTTCCTCAAGGGCTTTCTCTTTATTATTTCTGTCATTTGTTAGAAAGATAACTTGGATCTCCTCATTCTGCATTTTCTTCAAGTGTTCATTGTACCATTTTACTGCTACCCGAATGGCTCTGTCATTGCGGTCATTAGAACTTTCTCCTTGCTGTTGCTCTATGTATGTTTCTCTAAAGAAAAATAAAAAGTGGAGGGGGTGGTAAGCAAACCAAAACAACAACAAAAAAATTGCAACATTTATCCGTAATCACGACATCTTTTTCAGACAAATAAGATTAAGATTGTAAAGCCAAACAAATCACCGCTGTACTAATTTTTAAAACATGCAATACTAAAGACCACTGAAGAGTTAGGAGACAGGAGGGTCAAGAAGAATAGCAAGGAAGCGTTAAGTTCTTACACAACCTCCTCACTGACAATTGAACAGCACTCAAGATGAACACTGCTACAACTATGATACTGCTGCAGTGGAAACTACTTATGAAAACAAATGTAGGCAAAGTAATCACATCTTCATTTCTTAAACCCTTCTGTCACTACCTGACTAACAGATTTTTGAATTCTCCTGCAGATTGAGCTGGCATATTAATAAAGTGTTGGAATATGTTTAAAAGGAACACTAAAATTGAGCATTATTCCATTGTGCAGATTAACACTATTGCCCATAAAGTATGTGCCTACAGCAGTTAAAAAATTTAAAAGCTCACAGAACATTCAATTATTTCCCAATAGGATTTTTTAGAAGTATATAGTGCTATGCACTAATTAAACTGACATGTCCATCTAATTTATTTGCCTAGTTCACATGTTCCAGCTGTTTCCCAGCTTTTCAGTGGGCATCTATACAACCTTATTATATCCTATTCTACGCCTTACCGATGATGTTCATTGGTGAAAGAATAGAAATGTTTTTCTGGGTTTCCAATCACGTCTCTAATTCGTTTGTACACTGGTGCACTCCGATTCCTGACTTCTTGTAAAACTGTCTGTAGCACAATGACATTCTTGATAACAGGATCTTCAAGTATATCAATCTGAAGAACAAAATGGAAATGCATCATTATTTTTTGTTTTGTCCAACAACAGGATTTGAAATATTTGTTTGGTTAATATGCAAAAAACTAATGTAGAATAAGACATGCTATTCCTGCCTTTCTCTCTTGCCATTGGGAATATGAAGTAAATAATAAGCTGCACCATTCTGCTTGTAGGCAAAATGCTCAAATTGGATTTTCCAATCTGTGTTTTTTTTTTCCCTTTTAGATTTAGCACTTTTTTTTTTTCTCTGCTCCGGATAGGCACACTACACAACCGTGTACAAAAACCCATGCTCCTGTCAGGGGAAAAAGATGTGTGCTTCACTTCTGAGCTTGTGGCAAGCAACTGTGTAAACCCACCTCCAAAAAGAGACAAAGATGAGGTACTGGGTGGCATGGCTGAAACAATTAAGAGCAATGCCAGATGAAGCTTCTCTGATGGGTGTTTAGATGACCTAGAACAATGTATATAAGGCAAAAAGTTTAATACTATTCTATACCTGAGCTGAATTGCCAGGCCAAGCGTTACTGTTGCAATCCTGTTCCTGTTGTTACCAAGACTGCCTAATACCCTCTGCTCTGGTTCATAGCACTGCATCCTGGCAAGTTCTCAGAGTGCTCTACAACATACGAAAATTTTACCAACAAACAACAAGAAGTTCACAGAAAATAGGCTGAAAACATCCACTTTCTTGCTGTTTTGGATGAAAACCCTTACTTACAGCTTTTAATATAACTAACTGCTGAAACATGAGAGTGCTGTGCCCCTCTCCTGAGTAAGGAATGACAGCATTCAGGACCCACATCTTCCAGCTTCCAACATCTGCAGGGGATATTCTATATCCTACCGATGTACTCAACAGTATTAAAACAAACAAATTAAACACTGAGCTTGAGAATTCACCGTCTCCCAGCCTGCTGTACTGCCTGTGTTGCCCAGACCTAAGCCGCTCTCTATAGCGATGGGTTGCAGAGCTCACCCCAAACTCATGGAGATCACTTTGGGATAACTTTGCGGGCTCTGTTCGTCGCCTGGAAACCAACACCACGCTATAAAATTTGTAGCGGTCTCTGAAGGCCGGGAGAGGTATTTAGTGCAACGCACATGGGCTGTAAAACACACGAGGCCACCTGAGGATTCAGATGGCTGCTCCAGCATCTGCTCACCCTCCCTGCCTGCCTTCCCACACCCACACCACACCAAAAAATAACCGGGTTTCCACTCCCAGCGTTTCCAGACAGCAAAACCCTGTAAGAAGGAGGAGGAGGCACCCCAAAGCCGGGGGGCTGCGGGACGCGGGGAGCGGCTCCTCAGCCCAGGGAGGGGGCGCGGGGTGATGGCGGCGGGGGGGAGGCGTTGTGCCGTGCCCCGTCCCGGCTCACCTGGTGGAGCAGGAGGTTGGTGTCCGGCAGCAGGTAGTGCGGGCCGGGGCACAGGCTGCTGGCCGCGCCGCTGGGCCGCTCCTCCAGGGCGCTGGGGCTGCCGTCGGGGCGCGGGGGGCAGAGCGAGCAGGCGGCGGCGCCGCAGGGGATGTCGTCGCGGAGGTAGTGCTCCCGCACCACCTTCAGCACGGAGCCCGCCCGGGTGCGCTTCAGGAAGGTCCGCGAGGTTAGCATGGCGGCCGGGCGGGCAAATAGAGAGAGAGAGAGGGAAAAGGAAAGGGGGAGGAAGGGGGGGGAAGATGGCGGAGCCGCGTCGCCGCGGTGATGGCGTCGCGCAGCCGCGCTGAGGGGAGGGCGGGCGCTGCTGTGTGGGGTCCTGCCGCCCCGCCGGGTCGCTGCCCGCTCCTCTCCCGGTCCTCTGGAAGCGTGCACCGGGCTGTGTTTCTCTGCAGCAAACCCACGGTCTCTCCCCGTAAGTAGCTGCCGGTGTTGGGCGAGCCCCGGAGCCCTGCAACGGCTCCGGAGCCACGGAGCATCCCGGTGCTGTCCCCTGCCCTGGGCAGGGGTGGCCCCACCGGAGCAGGCAGCCCCCAGTGCCTCGGTTTTGGGAGGTGCCCCGAAGGTACCGGGCACATCAGTCCGGTACAAACAGCAGGGACGAAGCCAGGCTTCAGGGGGTGCCTCTTCTGTCTTCTCGGCCCACTCGCGTTATGCCCCTCGCTGGGTGGTGCTCTCTGATGCTTTATGGTTTGGGGGCTTGGGGTTTGCTTGAATGCTCTTCTGGCAGTGTGAGAAGCAGGTGTTTTTTGCAGTCAAACCCCTTGTTACTATCACTAAGTAGTATCAAAACCCTTGTTAGTATTATATATTAAAAGACAGAGTCCTCGGGAAACCACCCTGTTCGGAGCTTCTTAACATGTCTTCCTTAAGTGCAGGAGAAATACATTACTGCGATGTTGAGAAGTATTGCTTCTTTAGTTAATTTTCAGAGACATCACGTCTTAACTGTTTTGTTTTTTTTGCAGTTGACTCTTCAGGGGGCTCGTCTCAAAATATAACTTTAAAAAGTGCTTCAAAAAGTGAAAGAAAATGTCACGTAAAAGCTCTAAGGAAACCAGGAAAGTAAACATCTCTAGCTCCTTGGAGTCAGAAGATATTAGCTTAGAAACCACCATCCCAACTGATGATCTTTCTTCCTCTGAAGAGAGGGAAGGTACTGTGAAAATCACTAAGCAGCTGATCGAACGGAAAGAGTTGCTCCATAATCTTCAGCTGCTTAAAATAGAATTGTCTCAGAAAAACTTGATGATTGATAACTTGAAAGTAGAATATTTGACCAAGGTAAGAGATGTTACGTTTCTTTCATCATACAATCGTTTCTTGTTTCTGCTGCTTTTAGAGTGTAGTAGAAGCTTGGGTCCTCAAAAGGATGTCTCTAAACTGCATACTGGAATCCTACTTAGCATTTTGTTTGTTTGTTTATTTAAAATCACAAAAGGAGGAAACAGATATGGAAGATGTAGCTGAGTTGTGTAAGGTGTTACAAATGGATGAGTTGGGAACATTTTAAATGTATTTTTTTTTCATTTCTAAAGTAAAAGGAAAAAGACTTTTTTTTTTTCTTCCCCGAAACAGTAAATAATTTGTCACTAATGTGAAAAAGTTAATGAGGCTTTTAACCTGAACTTGACATAGGCTAGAAAAAGTCTTCTGAATGCTATTGAGTGATCTATTAGTGAAGATGTAGCTAGAATATGCCACATAGTAATAATAACAGTGGGAGACTTTGTTGCATACAACTTCAACTAAGATACATGAAATTAAGACAGGTTTTGTAAAAGCTTTGTGACATTTGTGTCAAGTTCAGGTTTTCAACCTCCTGTACAACTGGTCTTTACACTGGTTTGTTGGCATAAGTTTAAGGCTACTTTGAAATCAGCCAATTAAGTAGCTATCTAGATGAAATAAGCAGTTGTAGAACCAAGTCTTTTTAATTTGGGTAAAAATCCGTATTTTATTTTGTGAGGCCTTAGCATATTTAGATACTTTGTTAGACAATCATCTTTGTATTCCCAGTTCTCTACTTTTTCTTAATAGTTGTAATTCTTTAAAATAAATGTTTAGCAAACAAACAAGAGGTAACTTCTTTTCTGCATTTTATTTTCTTTAGATTGAAGAGCTGGAAGAGAAGCTTAATGATGCAATCCATCAAAAGCAGCTGTTGTCTTTACGACTGGATAGCCAGCTGGCATTACAGCAAGAAGATGCTAGGTATGACAAAGTAATGCTATAAACTTTAATAGTTTATTGATAGGAACTGGGATTAATTCAAGCTAATGAAAAGTGATGGTTATGAGTTGCAGGAATAGGATTTATTTTGCAGATTATACTAGTATTTCCATTCTAAACTGTTAAGCACAAGTAAATTTTAATTCAGTCTCACTTGTTTTGACTGCGGTTTTGACTTTGATGTTATCTGCATTCAAAATTTAATAGGAACTTGAATAAGGGGTGTTTCAAAAAACTGTAAAGAGCAAAAAGAGCAAATAGAGGGAGCAGACACTCTCAATCATTGAAATAGAATTTTTTATAACTGCGCAGCCTGCATGACTTAGGAGAGATAAGGGCTTACCCTTAACACTGCCAGGGATTGCAGATTGATCAGAAATGCTTCCTGTTAATGAGGCAGAAATTTACTTTTCTCCTTGCTTTTCTGCAGCATTTTGAATTAATCTATAGCTGAGAATAGACTGGCTAGTATAGCGGGCTTCCCCAGTTTACTTTGGCAATTAAATTTTTAACACCTGTAAGCTGTCTGTGAAGGGAGAACATTACTAAACTGTCTCATGTTACAGTGAAGAATACATCAACTCAGAGGATGTGACTAATTCAAAGTAATATTCTGTAATAATTCTGGAACAGATTTAGTGCTATAAAGCCAGATCTGAGATCAGCAGACTTTCAACCAAGAGCAGCTAATTGTTGGAGAAGGGTCTTTAATTCTGTATGGCTGTTTGCACAAGGGGGAATATTTTTGTTTGCTCATAATAAATTATCCGTGAAGTGCTCAGTAAAGTACTAATGTTCAAAATATTAGTAATAGTAATGAGCATAAAAAGGTTGAACTGCTTTCCTTTCTTCATTTTTTTCATTAGTTGTCTGTTACCTCAATTATCATCCCTGTTTAACAGAATCATACACTATCTGCAGAAAATGTCTTTGTATGACTGCTTTGATGAGAAGTTTTATTTTGGAAAAAAGAAATGTCTTGTTATACTAATGATTAAATTTATGACTTTTAAAATAATTTAGAAGCTACTGCTTTTTGAAGAATGATTTAATCTGAATATGATTTGAAGAGTTACAGGAAAAAAGACAGTTGCTTCTGATTAAAAAATAATAATAAAAAAATGTTTGAAACATCTCTTGTTGAACATCCAGTTCTCTTGCTATATAGTACCTTGTCTGGTGAGAAGAGTGATGGCAGTGTTTTAAGTCTGGAAGTAACATTGCTTGTTTAAGCGTGTTTTTTTTTTTTTAAAGGACCCCAATTTGCATGTACAGGGCAGAACAGGTATTTACAGGATAGAGCATGAAGGGATGGATGTGTATGGAATAGACCATAATTATGGATGTTCTGACGCTCAGAGAGACACGGGTTGCAGTTAATACAGCTTTATTTGGCGATTTACTAGTTTCTTGGATTTTGTGCAGAAATACATTCTGCTTTTTACATTTTAATTGGCAAATTAAGGCTAATTTATAAATTAAAGTCAGCAGATCAGGTTAACTGTCACTTCACAGAATCAACATAGTATTGTCAGTGACTTCAGGCTACTGTCAGTACAATTTTGCTGAACTGTATGTGGGACTATGAAGCTCCTGTTTTTTTTTTTATTTATACAATGTCAGATGTGATTGTATAACCACGGTGGTGCATACTCTTACACTGATTTCCTGATCTCGCTTTAGATTTTCTCCTTTATGACACAAGCATATCTCCTATGCCAGGATATTGTGCAGGTTTTTGACTTGTCTTACTGCTTTGTCTTCTGTTTTCGAATCAATCTTAAAGAAAACATCAAGCTCTAATGAAACAAGAAATGGAAACTATTTTACTGAGACAAAAGCAGCTGGAGGAAACAAATCATCAATTGAGAGAGAGGGCTGGAGATATCCGTCGGAGCTTGCGAGGCTTGGAATTAACAGATGACTGCTATGAGAAGCTGAAATCTCTCCCTGAAGATCAGCTTTCCATCCCTGAATATGTTTCTGTGAGTATTGTCCTATGTTGGCTTTTAACAGAGCTGTGTGCAGGGTCTGGTTGGGATGGCATTAACTTTCTTCATGGCAGCCTACATCTTCCTGTGTTCTCGATTTGTGGCTAAAACAGCGTTGATAACACACCAGTGTTTTGGCTGTTCCTGGTGATTGTGGTGTCGAGGCTTTCTCTTTCCCTGCTTTGACTCCCCCCATAGGGTGATCGTGAGCTTCAGAGGAGACACAGCTGGGACAGGTGACCTGAAATGGTGAAAGAGGTATATGTACATGTATTTGTAGTGTTGTGCTTGGCAACATAAACTGAAGGCAGAGGAAGAAGATTGGGGGATGGCAGTGGTGATGGCTACTTCAAAGGTCTCTGTCACTCAGACTAGCTGGGTACCGGTCTGCTTGTGGAAAGCGATGACTGTTTCTGCATTGCTTTTTTTCTTCCAAATTCCCCTTTAATTTTCTGGTATTAAACTGTGGAGAAAACTTCCTGTTCTCTCCGTTGTCCTGCCTCAACTGGTGGCAGGGAGCGTGTGAGTGACTGCACTACCATGGTTGGGAATATGTGGTGGGTTGGCCTGGCCAGCAGTCAAGCTGTAAACTGCTTTTATTTAAAATCAAGGGCATCTACAGACTGTAGAAGCCATTCTGGATGTCTAGAGTTATTATTCTTTCCTAACTAGAAATGAAAGACTTTTGTGCAGACGTGCCTTTAGATCAATCCATTCTGGTTGGATTCAGGCAAAGAGAACCTCTTAATCCCAGGCTCTGATACCTTAAAGAGTTGAACTGCTGATAAGAGAGTAACATAAACAGGGTGTTTCAATTAAGTGGTGAACAATGACGTGTCAGTGATCTGGAATACAACGTGGTGAAAATAGGAATTTGAAACTCAGCTTTGCCATTAAGTTAGGATGGTTCTTGCAAACGTCTCTTGCTTTTCTCATGCTTTCAGTCTGGCCTTTTCCTGTCTCTGACTAAATGCAGAAGCTAAAGGGTAGCTTAAATTATGCTTTAGTTCTGACTTCCTTGCTTTGAGAAGTTTGTTAATTCTGGAACATGGGTAAATTTAGGGGGGAGGGAGCAGCATTCAGCTTGCATTAAAAAAGCAATGTTCTCACAGACTGTGGGCATGTCCAGAACACCCTGGGCTCAATTCTGAGAATGCAAAGGGTTTAGACATGTAACTTTGATTCACCAAAGTGCTAGTATTGTATGTATCTATAGAGGTAGTTATTAAGCAAGGTGTAATTAATATAATTTAAAAAAGCTTAGTGTGTTAGTTGAGTTATACTGTGTGAGTGAGCTCTCTTGCTACATGCAAGTCCTCATACACTGTGTTCTAGACGTGTACAGAGAAATAAAGCCTATCATCCTTAGCCAAAGATGTTCTTGGGAACATCTTTCAGAAGTTCCAAAACCTGGACTAGGAAAATTTTAAGGCTGTGAGTGATAAACAAAAATGCTTAGGTTGGAGCCTCCTGGGTTACTAACCCCTAACTGTCTGTTTCACCCCTAATCCTTTATATAAAGTATTTGAAGGTGGTTTGTTTGTTTTTGTTGATCCCTGCACTACCATGGTTGACAAAACAGACTTTAAACAGAAACTGAACTCCATGTCAGCTTGCTTGAAATTGGTGTGCAGGAAGCTCCGCTACTTCAGGAACTGACTGACAGGCAGCTTAAAAGCCTATGTCACTGAGCAGGACAGGAATCAGGAATCAATGGCCTTGATGACTGCTCTCAGTGAAGCTGTCACAGTATGACTGAAGTGCTTGGATTGTGTTTGTGAGTAGAGGGGGGTTCTCAAAAAGCTGTGAAGTGAGAGTGGTGAGTACCCCAATCTACCTTCCACCTTTCTTTTCCTTTTGCATTCAACCAACTGCTTGGTGACCCAGATTCCACTTGATTGAAGCCCCTTTCCTCCTTACATGTCACTTGGTTCTTTTGAAGAACTGCTGGTCTTGGTCTCTTTTTTTTCTTCCTCCTCTGTCATGGTTCCGCTACATCCTCCCAGGAAAAGATATTCTAAAGATACACTGTAGTAAGATTCTGTGTTCTGCTTGTTCTCCCAACTGTTTTTCACAACAGGATCAGTGTGAACCTGAGTGTACCACTTAAGCTCAGGGCTTGCTTATCATTAATTTGAGTTATTCAGCTGATATGGACACTGGAAGGGTACAGAGCTATTTTACATGGCCTTTCTATGCATCCATTTGACTTCTGGAGGCTAGGAAAGGATGTTGAGAAGTAATTTTTTCTGATGCTCTTCTCAGCTTTGCTCACCTAAGCAAATTGTGTGTTACTCAGGCAGATAAAATGTCTGGATGCAGATTTATGTGCAGACCAATAGTATAGCCTATTGATATTAGGGTAAACTTCCCTTGGCAAGAAAGGGTTCTGCTTAGAGGAAACTTGAGTGAGAAATCTCCAGACTTGAAGACAAGAACTTTTTTTTTCTATTTATTGACATTAATGTAGAAAATAAGAACTTTTCTCTATTTATCAGCATTAAAATACTGCCTTCCAATTCTTCAGGATGCAAGCAAATTTATATACAATGCATGTACTTGATTTGCAACAAGGACAAACAGCGGGAGTACAGTTTAAAATACAGATATTGCAAATTTAAAATACTAGAATTAAATGTGAGATGTGTTTCTCTCTTCTTCCACAAAGGGGTGCAATAGTGACACGTTTGAGCTAAGTCTAAGCAATGTTTATCCTTTTTGATGACAACAAATGACGAGTATTTTAAGCATCTTTTTTTAGTGTTGTTTTTTTGTTGGTATTGAACTTTACATGTAAAAACTTAGATTTTTTTCATCACTTTAGAAAATTATTTCAAAGAGGCAGCATATGTGAAACTTTAAAGCGCTTCAGGCCACTGAACTGGTGTTTGGCAGCTGAATCACTTAATGTTCTCAGTGAAGTTGTGAGCATCTTATGTACTTGTATGTGTTGTTTTTTTTTTTTTTAAAAAAAAACTTGTTTGTTTAAATGAGTCAGTCTGCAGTTATGTTTCAGTTGTTCAGTTTTAAGTAGGCTAGAAAGATAAATAAAAGCTGTGTTTTCCTTATGAACCCTGAAGGGGAAAAAAGTTGTTAAAAATGATTTCTTCTTTTTCAGATAGGTTTGATTTTAATAACTGCATCTTTTATTTGTATCATTTTTGCTGTCTACAGCTGAGCTGCTCTCTTCTTTAAGAAGGTGCTTCACTGCTGCAGCTGCTTTCATGTAACTTAATTTGACAGGTGCCAAATTTCCCTTCTTTTGCACCCACCAATTTGTAGCCAAACTAGCTGTTGTGGTTTAACCCAGCAGGCAGCTAAGCACCACACAGCTGCTCACTCAGTAATCCATTGCCCCTGCCCAAGTTGAACGGGGGGACAGAGTTCCAAAGAGAAAAAAAGTAAAACTCGTGGGCTGAGATAAAGACAGTTTAATAGGATGGAAAAGGGAGGGAAAATAATGGTGGTAATTATGATAAGGAATGCGCAAAACAAGTGATGCACAAAGCAGTTGCTCACCACCCATTGACCAATAATGCCCAGCCAGACCCTGAGCAGCCTCCTCCAGCCAACTCCCTCCAGCTTTATAGCTGAGCATGCAGCTGTGTGGTATAGGACATCCCTTTGGCCAGTTTGGGCCAGCTGTCCTGGCTGTGTCTCCTCCCAGTTTCTGGTGCACCCCCAGCCTCCTCCTTGGCAGGGCAGTGTGAGAAGCTAGAAAAGTCCTTGGCTCTGTGCAAGCGCTGCTCTGCAACAGCTAGAACATCAATCAGTGTGTTATCAGCACTGTACTCATGCTATATCCAAACCACAGCACCACACCAGCTGTGTAACAGGATGAAAATTAACTCTATCCTTAGCTGAAACCAGGACACCAGTTTTCCGTAAAGTATTTTTTTAAGTGCTTTTATTGGTGACAATGAAGTTCTTTAAGAAAAATAATTTTAAAGTTTTATAATCAGTTTTGGGAGGGGCAGAGGAGAAAAGACTTGAAATTCAGTGCTCAGCTTCAGACACAATCAAATTCCAAAAGAATCCATACAGATGGAAGCTGCAGTTAAATTGTACATACTTACTGCATTGCATACACATTTCTAAAACATTTTTATGAGGGTGTAGTTGAAGCCTGTAGTAGGTCAGAAAGAAGGCACAAAGGTAACTTCACTGTTCAGTTTCACGTGAACCCATTAGAAGCAATGTGATTTCACAGATAAACATGCAAAAATACTCCTTAAATATTGTAGGACCAGAATACTGCATGAATGAAATAGTAATGAAACAAGTTGCATCAGGGGAGGTATAAGTTGTGCCAGGGGAGGTTTAGGTTGGATGTTAGGAAAAACTTCTTTACCAAAAGGGTTGTGAGGCATTGGAATGGGCTGCCCAGGGAAGTGGTTGAGTCACCATCCCTGGAGGTCTTTAAAAGACGTTTAGATGTAGAGCTTAGTGATATGGTTTAGCGGAGGACTGGTTAGTGTTAGGTCAGAGGTTGGACTCGATGATCTTGGAGGTATCTTCCAACCTAGGTGATGCTGTGATAAAGCAAGAGAATTAAGTTAGTTCACTTTAAATGAAAATACAATTTGTAGTAGAACTGTGGCATCTGACAGTTTAATTTGTCATTGGAAATATTTGGAATGTGAAGAAAGTTGTCATACCATATCTTGGGTTAAATTGAATTATAGTTTTAAAAATCTATCACTAAGGAGGAAAATTAAGGATGTAAGTAAACAGCCGTAACGAATTGAAAATCCCTTGGACACTTCTCATTATCTCCTGCTAATTACAGCGCAACGGAGGCCAGCCTTCCTGCATGGAAATGTTTGATTGTTCTTGAGCATTTACTTTAACTATGCTTTTTTACTTGCATTTCTTATTTGCATATGCAAAAAACAAAATGTTAACTTGGGGGGGCTCGGTAGTTTTTGCCTGAAAATGCCAAGTAATCTATTCATCCCCCCAAATAAACATTTTAAGGTAGGAAGTTAATCTAGAAGTTGTAGTGGGGGGGAGCACTGAGTACTGTCATAAAGGCTCATTCTTCTTTGAGTTTTCCTTTGTTTTTTTACTGTTAACTTTGTGTTTTTACCACTGACTTTTCTTGTGTCTGTTCTTGTTCAGTAGAAGTGTTCTGGAAAAGTTTTATAAATCTGACACTTTTTTTATTAGTGGTTATGCTTATGACAGGAGTTGGGTGGGATGGGATAAGGAAGGAGTATGTGTTAAACAGATTTTTTTTTAAAAAATCCTTTTATAAGGCTTTCCAGCGCCAATTGTGCAGGGGTACATTTGTTTTTATGTCAGAGTATTCCCTTTTCCGTCTCCAGCTGTGGGGTTTTGCCAGTGTTGGTGAGCTAGTTTAGGTAGCTGGTTGGGCTGTAAAGCAGCTTTTGTTACTATTTGGATGGTGCATGGGGGTGTTTTTTGGGGGCGAGGGTGCTGAGAATTAGCTGTGTTTGGTTTAGGCAGGATATTGTTCTACCGAAGCTGAAACCAGAGCCTTCCAGTTGTTTCCTTCAGGATTCATCTCACAAAACCCAAATGGACTGGTAGTGGAGTTTCATGATGCAGCTGAACCCACGGAGCACCACGTTCCTGCTGGAAGTGTGTGGGTGGTGGTGGTGGTATGCTGTGCTCACTTCTGTGCTTGCTCTTGTGTTTTTTCTTGGTACACAGGGAGCAGATTGAACGCACTGAACAGGCAGAAAACAAATCTAATCTCTCGCCTTGTCTTCATACCCTACAAAAAAACGTATATTGTCTCATGAGGGTTAGCAAATAGGCTTCGGAATTGGCACAAGTGGAGGGGGCAACCATATGCTCTTCTAGCAGCTGTATTTTTTATATTTTTTATTTTTTTTCACTTGGTCAGCCTGACTGGGAACTGCCTTCATTGAACAAAAATGTGTATCTTTACCTTTGTTTTTTATTTATTTATTTTTTTAAAGTACCGAGCACGAATTATTTCCTAGCTGTTTTTTTCAAAGGCTGAAGAAAGTCACTGTCTTTGATTTAACCCCCATCCCATGTTCGCGGTATGCACTATTTTGTGAATTATTGCCACAAAATATTCATACGATTTGTTTTGGAGTATGTTACACTGCAGTTGTGTCAGTCTAAATTTTGAATCTGTATTTTGTTCTTTTAGGTTCGATTCTACGAAGTAGTCCATTCCTTGAGAAATGAGCTAAGTGACCTACAGGCGAAAAAGCAGACCCTAACAGAAGAACTAAGTGGGTACAAATCCCAACTGAAGTGTGTGACGGAGGTCTGTGTACTTAATTATCTCAATTAAGAAACTGTGTGAATATACATACTTATGTGTGTCATAGAATCATAGGGACACACATCTCTCTACAGATATTGCTACTTATAAGCTTGTTCTCCAAATCATTATTTATGTATATGATACAAAGTTAGTTTGATATATGATAGTTTTAGATACTTTTATCATATAAAACTTAGTTTGGGGGATGGAGAGAGAGGAAAAGTGCTATTTATGTGTTTGTATAACAGCTAATTTTATGTTATAGCTACCCTGCAAGATCTACTTACAAGCTTCCTGCTGTTAAGGTAAGACATAGCTCATACCAGCTATGTCATACTGTTTGATGGTAAAATTCAAATAGCTGAAGCTGAGACAGCAGATTCATCCATGAGTAGTCAAAACCACAAATGATCAGCATATAGTTTTCAACATGGTGATTCTGTTAAAAAATTGTTTCACCTTTTGTTTTCACAATATATAAATGACTTTTTTTTTTACATTCTTCAGAGTTGCATCTTCTTTGTTATGTTCTAAAACTTCATACATTTTTATTTTCTAATTTATCATTCTACTAGACAGACAATTTTATTTTGGGTAAGATAAATATCTAAAGTAGAGAAAAGTTATTTAGACATATTTAGGTTTTGTTTTCAGACTAAAGAAGTTGAAACAATACAAGGAGAATGCAATTTTTTAAAGGTATTTATAAATACTAATAGCATCCTTCTACAGCTAGGATGTTGATTAGTTTTGTATTGTAGCTTATTTCTGCATAAATCTGGAGCTTCTACTACCCAGACTGTATTTATCTATATCATGGCTGACAGACTTAAATGCCACTGTCATTTCATTACTTCTGAAATTATTCTTCAGTTACCACATCTTTTCCTTTTTTATTTTTTTTTTAATTTTTTACTTTGAAATTTACTTATGGAATAATCAAGCGTAAAGAGATGGTAAATCATGCAGGGTAGTCCTGTGAAAATGGTATTTTCATTTTTCTTCTTGATTGAATTTGGCAAAAAAAAGTCAATAAAATTTGTGCATTTATATGCTTCAGCATTAGTTTGTGCTCATCTCTGATCATATTTGAGATCAGATTAATGATGCTGACTTTGATTTACAAGGGTACTTTCATTCATTGTACGTTCAATGTGCCCTGACTTAGTAAATTCTATAGGAGTATTTCATACTTGAGAGACTTAGCTGACATCCATGTTAATTTTGCTGCAGCAATTAAATGCAGTAGTAGATGATTAAAATTGTGCTAGAAAACACGATTGGCACAGACCTTTGGTACAGACCTTTCTTTAATGTGTACGTTTCTCTGTTGTGTTTTTTTTTTTGTTCTTGTTTTTAACCACACGATGGCACTATCCACCTTTCCCACTGATTTATTTTTCAAACATTAAAGTTTACTGTGATTTTCTTCTGATGCTGATGAGAAAGCACTAGACGTTACCTGTGTTAAATTGAGGTGTTTGTTTTTGCTTATACACCTTTGCTTATACATAAACATGCTTAAACTGGGAGATAATTAGTGAGATTATGTACCTCATTTATAAAAAAAAAAAAAGTCAGAAAAGATATCCAGATGCTGAAATGTCACAAGTTTTACAGCTACTAATAAAAATAAGTCTTTAGGACTCATTTCCTTTTCTCTGAAATCTCATTTCCTAGGTTTCAGATAAGATCAGTTAGTACGTTTGGATTAACTTGTAGGGTTGGGTTTAACGTAAAGTTTTCCCCCTGTCCATTATGTGTAGAGGTGACATGTTTTGGAAATTCAATGAATGTGGCCTGATAATGGTATTTTATGTACGGAGAGACATGAGTCTCAGTATTCTGCTTCTAGCAAGTTCAGATTTGACCCAACAATGAATATCACCGTAACAAGGTACCTCAGTTTCTTTCCTATAAGGCAAGAGGAGCATCAAAATGTGAGGGTACTTTAGAATCTCTAACATACTTAGTACACTAAAGCTAATATACATCAACATTTTTTGCAGCATATGAATAAATGGTTTCAATGTGTACTGTTGGAATTAACTTTGTCACTTGAACTCCTTTGATAAGGTCAGGCGTCACTACGAGGAAATATATCAACAGGAAATAAAGCATAGTTTCATTCAGTTTTATTTAATCTCTTGCACCCTTTTACTACTGTTGTGTAATAATCATTCTTTATTTCCAATTGCATGAAATACATGTACAGTTGCTGAAGTTCCTTGCCTATGATTAAAAAAATCTTTATGCTCTTTGAATGCTTCCTCTGGTTTCCTGTCCGATGTTTCTTACCACTTAAGTTTTCTCTGACGGTTGTATTTCTTTTCTCTATGCTACTCACAAACTGAAACCAGACACTTTGTTGAAAACTTCTTAAAGAAACTAGAAATGCAGATTCTTGAAATACAGTCATCACTGAAGTTGATCTTTTTTTTTCCCTGTAAGAATAAACCACTTTCTATAATGTATTTCTTTTATTTTTTTTTCAGTATTGCAAATGATTATGGCTTTTCCTAATTAGTTTCGCCTTCCTTTTTTCCCCTTTGTAGAAACATGGAAAGGAACTAAAATATGCGCATATCTCCAGTCTTTCTATAAACTAGAAATGGGGGGAAGAGGAGCTCACTAGCTTTTCTGGCTGTTCACGGAAACACTAGGTCTGCATAAGTTTTATATTTGTAGATATTTACTCAGAAATAAAGACATAAGAAATACGAGACAATTAGCAACAGACTCACAGGAAATCCATCTCGCCAGTACAGAGTTGAGGAGGTAGGGTTATCAGGGAGTATAGTGATACAACACCAAGTAATGGCTTAAACTAAAAGAGGGGCAATTGAGTAAAAAAAACATATCTTTTATATTTACTCTAAAAGGGTAGCAAGGCACTAGGACAGGTTGCCCAGAGAAGCTGTGGATGCCCCTTCCCTGGAGGTGTTCCAGACCAGGCTGGATGGGGCTTTGAGCAACCTGGTCTGGTGGGAGGTGTCCCTGCCTGTGGCAGGGGGGTTGGAACTAGGTGAGTTGCTTAGGAAGGAGCTTGTTTGGCAAAGCAGACATAGCCTTACACAAAAACGAGCACTGGGAAACTCAGTACAGTTGCCTGGTGTTATAGCCACTCAGCCAACTGAGCTTACAAGTCTACAGCTGCACTAGCAAGGAACCTTGCTTCTGTAAAACCTGAATTGTCATTGTAGCCTTGTAAAAGAACTAATTGTCCGAGACTTGACGAATCTGTATCTTCTTTCTCTATAGGCAATTTCATAAATTTATTTGTACTAGAAAAAAATTATTTCTGATTTCAGGCTACAAAAGGCATCTTTTAAGTATTTATCACTTGCCTTTGTGCCCTTCGGTATGTGAAAACATACTTTCCTTGTTCAAAAAGGACTGGAGGTCTGAAGTGTTTATCAGCCTCTGTTAACACTCATTTAATTCCCCATATGCAGAGCAGTAAGAGCAAGAAACTTACAACTTTGTTACACAGTTTTCTTGTTGATTGTCTGTCGCAGCTTTCAGTTAGCATTTAATCAAAGCCTGCTGAATCTAACACAGGCCCAGTAGGGTGGGGAGCTGCTTCTGAGGACTGGTAGGAAAATTTTGAAGGCTTTTTTTCTAGCACTGCAACATAATCTGATAAACATATCTGGTGTCAAAAGATCTTTGCCTCTATTTTCTGTTTTTTAAGTGATTGATACAAGTAGTTCAGCAGTACTACAGCTTCGTTGGTGGCTTTCTTTATGTAATCGTTGCATCTTGTGATTTAGATTGGCACAAGTGCCTTGGTTTCAGGTTCAGCAGCAACTGTCCTGGCGGGAGGTGGTGGAACTTGTGAAAGTGCTGTTCCTGTGTGTTAGTGCTGATGGATCTCTTATCAGGTGTATAGGACAGATTTCTTTCAGTTCTCCTTTTGCAGTGCTCAGTACTTCAAGTACGAATGAATGACGTTGGCATTGCCACCTTTGGAAGTACAGGTAGAAAAAGAAAGTCCAGGTATAGAGCTAGATTACCAGGAGCTTGCCAGAAACGAAACCAACTTCTGATGTGGGTGTTGCCAGGCTGAACAGCAGGGTACTATTTTCAGAGTCATTTGATTCCAGAGTGGTTAGAGCCTTTACTCAAACTGGTGTAATTTACTTCCCTCCCTCCCTCTCTCGCAAGACTGCGAGTCTGAGAAGGAAATTCTGCTTCTCTTTGTAGCTCTAGAAGATCAAGTATTGCTTTCTTCATCTTGGCTACAAGTTTCTTGGCAATGTTTTCCAGGAATTCAGCCCTGATACAATTTTATCAGGGCTTCCTTTCTGTAGCTATAACTTTTTCTGTAAAGTTGCCTTCAGGACTTGTAATCAAATTTATAGTTTGACAGTTATCTAAAAGTTTTGGGTAGCTGAAAGGCAAAGTTGGGCGTATGTAGGCTAAAGGTCTTTTCTAAGACCTTGTCTCTGAATTGGGATTAGTAGCTGTCAGGTTTTGCTAGACAGATCTTACAATTTTCTGTGTGATAATGTTTCCCAGCTGGAAGAAAAACATTTCTATGGCCTTCAAAGAACAAACTAAGCTATTGCATCCAAAGGGTCAGTTGGCACTAGATGTGTCTGGCTGAGTTGTAAAATCGAGGCTGCTATTGCCACTCCAGAAACACCATGTTCCCTAAGATTTCTGCTGAAGGTTTCACATCTGTAACTAGAGACTGCACACTAGAAGCCTTCCCCAAACACCAATGCTTTCTAGCGGTGCTTTGATTACTTTGCCTCTGCATTGTTCTCTGGAAGGGACAAATAAGGCTTCAGTTCTGGGTTAACTGTGTTTCTCCTTTCTTTCATTATCATTAACATTTATTTTGTACAGGAAGAAAGCTGCAAAGAAAGAATTTCTACCAATAACTGTTAGTTCAGGGCAGCAATTTAACATTTTCAAGCCTCAGGAAAACTCATGTATCTATTGAAATTCTCTTTCCTACCTAATGTTCTTCTACCTCTTGATAGAAAACTCTGGCTTGTGTAGATTGCTGGTTGTTGTTCAGAAGGACCAAATAGCTTAATTCCGGTGTCTAATGCAATGATCCAAAGGACTTTTTTCATCTGAGAACATCTAAGTGAAGAGTAGATTCTCATCAACTCAGATCCAAAGAAAAAGAGCTTGTTATTTTCCGCCAGTTTCTTTTGCAGAAAAGGCCATCCTTACCTTTCTTGCAGAACTTTACTGTTTTGAAAGTAGATAAATGTTTTCATTTATCATTTTTAATGGCAGGTAGTGTCCTATCTACAGTCCTTGGCAGATTACCAATTTCATACCAACATACTAGAACAGAAGTTTTATTCATCCAGTTATGCATAACATTTTCCTGTTGTTTGGACAGTTGTATTCAAATAAATACTGTATTGACCAATAAACAAATTGAAACAAAATGCCATTTTTACTAAGTATCAGCAGCTCATTCAAATAGTGAAGGAGTTTACACATCACAATGATATAGTAGCTTTACATTTGCAGAGGTTTTTAGGTACTTTAGAATATGAATAGAAAGTGATAGCTCATGTGAGTTATCCTTCAAAGATGAAGTTCTTTGAAATACGCTTTTTAAAAGCAGGATCACTTTCTTTCACAGGCTTATCTGTCAATAGTGTGAAGTCATACAACTTTTACTTGATTGGCTGATAAATCTTTTCGTGCATTTCTGTTGTTTATCTTCTCATCCCCACAGGCCTTTCAAAAGATCAGTAAATCCCTAGCATGTAATATGTCTCACTGAATTTGTTCAAAAAGTATGTCATCCACGTTTTGTACTTGGAATTTAGGTACGTGTTTGTTTCAGTGACTACCCTAAGTTGCTCTTCATTCCAGATGGAGGATAAAAGCAAAGCTTAATATCATAAAACTGAGGTCTGTCATTATATCTTTAGTTTCTGTATCTGCTTTGGGTTTAAAATGGTGCAGATTATGTAAGATTAGAATCTCTTGCTTGAAACAGCTTCCTATCAACAGTATTTGTAAAGAAAATTGAAATACTTTTTGGTAGGGACTACTTCTCATGCTCTCTAGAAACCATCTGCTCTGGTTAAACGCTGGGTCTGTTGGACATTTCTATTAATTTCTTTAGGCAATGTATACCTACCCATCTCATATAGCAGAGGTTCATTTGTTTTAACCACCTCATTTGTCTGAGTTGCTACTGTGTGCAGTAGTAAAAGTTAGTAAGAATCTGAAGAAAAGCCATGCGTTGTTGGTAAGATCACCGTAATCATGTTCCATTGCAAGTAAGTAATGTTTATCCTTTACATTTTGTTAAGATTTGTCAGCTTATTTAAACAAGTTATTTTTATTTATTGGTGTTATTTCCAGTTCAGGTCCTTGAAAGTATCTTGATCCATTTAAAAGCCCCCTTTCTGCTTCAGCAGGACATGTTCATCAGGACGTCCAAGCTATCTTTTGGAGATAAATTGAAAGATAAAGATGCTCCAGTGCAGAGATCTTAAAATCAGTTCAGGGTACACGAATGTTATAAACCAAATTAACCTCATCGCATTCAAAGCAGAGCTTATTCTTCCTAAGCACAGGCAGCTTGATTGCTTGTATTTAAGATGTATTGCTATAGAAGTCCAGAAGTCTGTTTATCTGCTACCTGGAGTTATGCATACTGTAGGCTTTTCTCTGTGTTAGTCTATATAGCCTGAATGTTTGACTTGCCTTGTTGCTGCTTTTTCCTGTGATTAAAATGCTCCTTTCACACCTAAAAGATCACGTAATGGGATCTTATGATTTATGCAGTAGAATTAGTATTTTTTCAAGAATTACTCTAAATCTTGAAAAACAATAAGACCAAAAAAAAAAAAAAACACCTATGTTTAATTACGTGTTTAAGTGTTTGATAGTTGAAATATGTCTTGGTATCACTTTTCAAAAGTAGACTTTAATGTCCCCATATTGCCTGAGATATCTTGTAGCTTGACATTATCATGACATTAACAACTGATTTGTTGAGTAAAATTCAAATCCTATTTTAAGTCTCAGGTGTTAGAAGGTGCAAATTTTGCAGATATTTAACTTCTAATTGGTGCTTTAGAGATGTTCATGACAGATTTGTCTGGAGATGTGCTTGGAAACACATCTGTAGTTCACCAATTTTAATTTTATACTTCTGGTAATTGTCTTCTAGGTGCTAAATCTGTAAGACTGTAGGAGTTTTAATAGCCCACTCTGTGAGTGGTGTATAAATTCCAGCATGATATTAGGAACGGAACGGCACAGGATATCTACAAAGGAATTGTATCAAAACTTAACCTTTCAGTCTGCACTTAACTTTCAAGTGCCCTTACCACCGTATCCTATTGCAAGATGAGTCATGTTTGCGCTTGTACTTGCACCTGTATGTTCCATATTTGAAACTCTATTTAAGTGGTAGACAACAACTTAAAAAAATAATCTGACAGAGGCTTTACTGTTATTATAATGCTATCTTTAGAAATTATGGCATATTAATTACTTATAGACACTCTTCTATAGTCCTGGCTTGCTTAATGTATATCATTAATTAGGATAAACCTAAAAATAAGCAACATATATCAGTACATTAGGATGGATAACAATTGTGTTTATAGATTACATATTCTTACTGATTTTCTTCCAGAATTTTCAGAAAAACTTTTTAAAGCTGTGATTTTGTGTAAAATTGTGATCTATGTGATTTTATAGCAAGTAAAAGTTGCGAATTTGTGAAGTATATGTGTCAACAACATACCTACAGTAAGATTAGTAGGTCAGTTGTGCATTTCTGTAATGTCTAACAAGCATTTAGGTGTTTTTTCCAAAAGACATTCTGTTCGGGTTTCTTTATGGTGCCTCTGAGTTTGGTAAAGAGCATTCTTTGTACATTTCCATCCCTATCCTTGAATATTATCCTTGTGTTTGCTTCTCCTAGGAAGCCATATCTAGGATTCACCCACTCCATATGTCCTGCTGTCTATATAGCCTGTTGTTGTGAACTTCTATTGCCTATTAAGAGCTAGCTAAAGACTTTTATATGCCTGTCTAAAACATAGCTTGTAATTTACTTTTGAAAAATTAAGTACTTACTGCAGTTTTTGACTGCAAAATTAATTTACAGTGGAGTAACGATTGATTCTATAGTCACGTCTTAAGGCTGAAATTTTGACAGAAGTTCCCAAAGCTTCTGAATGACCAACCGTCATAAGCAGACTGGTTTTGAAAATGTCGTATAGGTGGTGTGACTTGTGTCCTGTTACAGCCAGTGTCCTAGAAATGTGTAGGATATATATGTATGAGGAAAAAAAATAGGTATATTAATCAACAATTAAAATAAGATAAAATAAGTTTGACAAACCATATAGCTGGTTACTTTGTGGTGTGTACGAGACTGACAAATGAAAATACTACTGCTTGAATATATACAACGTTTGGACTGTGATTGTTTTAAGAAAATCTAAGTATAGCTGTGGTCACTTTAAAATGTCTTGCATTCTAGAGCTATGAAGATGAGCGGAGGAGTCGGTCAGAACTTGAGGTTAGATGCCAACGTTTAACACTGGAACTGGCTGATACCAAGCAGATGATTCAACAAGGTGATTACAGACAAGAGAATTATGATAAAGTAAAATGGTAGGTATCTCTAAACTTCATGTTCTACTAATACACAAATATTAATAGATTAAAAGCTTTTTAGTTTAGTCAATCAAGGTTCAAGTTTCATTTCATGATTTTTGGCTCATGTGTGCCACTTATTTTACCTTACCTGTCCACTAATAACTCAGCTATGTTGCATGGAACATAGCAGTCATGAAATGAAAAACACGTTAAAATCTGGCGCATCAAATTATCTTCCTAAAATTTATTCAACAGTTTCCTGTGTTTTCAGAAGAGCCTACCTGTTGCATTGCAACTATAGAAATGGGAGCTGTCGCTTACAAACGTCTTAGGAAAAATACTATTTTTAGAGCTTAAAAGCTGTGATCTAACAAAATGGCCAGGGCTCTACTGCGGGGCACCCACACAGTGAATTAAGAGAGTAGGACCCTTGGAATTAATGTTTAACAATTTAAACATTAACATGTTTAACAACCATAAATCTGAAAGGGCAGTTATGAGAACTGAGATTTGAAGATTCTCTTCATCAGAGAATCGTAAGAATACCTTTGTGGAACTACAGAAAGTTCAAGCGTCTCCATTTTTAAAATGCAAATTTTAGGGTTCTTGCCTATGGTTTGAGTGCCCATCTCAAAGGCAAAATACTGAAAATGGACTTTTTATAAATACACTCAGACACATACTTCACAGTCTGTCTCCCCAGCGGCTTTTTCAGTTTGCTTCCGAGTACATGAAATCTGGCCTTTGGCAGATTTTTTGGGAAATGGATTCAAAAATGAGGTTTATGAATAGAAAACACCCTGTCAGTTCCTTGTTGTTCATACTGCATAATCTCAGGTACAGTTATTGACACAAATGACTGTGCCACTAACTCATTTGAAAGAGGGTCTGTCTTCTGGATAACTGTTCACAGCCATATATACTAAAACAACCTTGGAATCTACCTGGAAGCCTGTTGCAAATAGGATGGATTGATGCTATGGTTTGCTTCCCATGTGCAACTGCATCTTATTAAGTGGATTGTAATAACTTTCTTGTGAATGGCCCCTGTGTTTAACAGTGTACATTTAAAATAGTCTTGAGTTGAAAAAGGCATGAATGAACGTGCCAAAACTATATTTGAGAGAGTAGGTTGTATTCATCTAGGTAGGCACAGACGAAGAGGAGGGGAAGGAGCACTATTGGCATGCCTGCATCAGGATATTTGGGAGCATTGCGGGAGTTAATCACTTCCAGGCTCATTTCTGCCTTTAAAAATGTTGTGTTAAATCTTCTGGTTCTGGTGTAATGCAAGTTATCACAGTTCTAAAGCTATGCTTATGCTTAATATAAAAGTGGTCAGCTTTTTTTTCCAAACTGCAGGCTCACTGGCTCATTCATTCCACTGTTCTGACAGGGTCAGATACAGTGGTGACAGAGTTGCTTCTTTGTGCATATGGGAAGCACTGTTATTCAGGACACCAAGGTAATTTTTGCAGATGTGTGATGTATACTTTAAATATGAGAAGAGTAGAGTTACTTCCTCTGGCATCAAGGGACTGTATATAGGGGAGAGCAGAAATTGAGAACAACTGTGCTTCGTTTTCTGTGTGATTAGGAATATGGGAATGAAGTCACTTCAGTTTTTATCCAACTTAAATATCTGCAAAAGATTCAGGAGATTATCATGGGAAATAGCACCAAAATCTTGACAAAACTGGAAGGCTAGATGAGGGTACCTACATTTCTCCTCTTAGCAATGAAATGTACAGCCCAAAGTTACACTAAAGAAGAATAATCAGAAGAGGATGAAATAATTTAGGATAGGGATTCAGAATTAGTATACTGTAATTTAGAATCATTGTTTAAATACTTAAATGAAGAAAACTCTTCCCTATAATAAGACACTAGCTGCCCTGTGAGTGACTTGATGGTAGAATTCAGTGTCATGAACTGAAAGAAGGCTGAGAAATAACTAAAGCATAGGACTCCTGTTCATTACATTTTACGTGTCTAATAATTTCACTTTATTTTAACAGTGAACGTGATGCATTTGAACATGAATTGTCAGAACTCAGAAGAAAATATGAAATATTAGAGATGTCACATAAAGCACAAGCTAAAGAAAGAAATGATTTATCGAAAGAGGTAAACTTTAAATTTCATATTTGGGTAATTGTCTTTCTTCAACTTGGGTGTTTGATTCTCTGTCTAGTCAAGTCTGTAAGCACCTGTAGGACTATGGAATAATTTGTATTAAGATGACCCTTGGGATGCCAGCTGGTCCAGTCCCTCCATGCAGAGTAGAGCCACTTTATATCAGGTTGTTTACAGCTTTGTCAAGTTTTTAATGTCTTTGAGGGTAGACATTCTGTGTCCTTTCAGGACAACCTGTTCCATTGTTTGTCTGTCCTCTTTGTGAAAAAGTCTTTGTAAAACCTGGTCAGAGGTGTTGCAGCTTGTTGCTTTTACCTATTGTCCTGTCACTATGCACTTCCGAGAGTCTGGCCCTGTTTCTGTGTTCCAATTATATAGGTGAAGATAACAATAAGATTTTCCCTGTCCAGATTTGTCTTCTGGCAGCTAGGGAAGGAGGAAGGGGAAAACAAACAAACAAAAAAAACTTGTTCTCTGAGCCCCTTAATGTGTTGTAGCTTATGACCATCTTGGTAGAATTCTGGCCTTGGTACGGTATGCTAATGTCCATCTTTATGGGGAGCTTTGGTACAAAAACCTGGTAGGTACACGGCTTTCTTTGCTGTCAGGATGCAATTGTGGCTTATGTTCAATTTGTTCAACCTCTTACTTACCTATGCAAGCCATATCTTGCTGGCAAAATGTTTATTATGGAAGGCATCTGAAAGCTATGCAAAAGTCCAAGTAAATGACATTGACAGCTGTTTGTCCATCTGGGGAGCCAGCCCCGTCAGGTTTGCCAGATCTTGGTAAATCCATGTTAGATGTTTCTAGTCTCTTGTTCCTCCATGCTTGTGGACATGTCTTCCAGGAAGATTTGCTTTGTAATCTTTGAAGGGAGTGAGTTTAGACTAGACCAACCCATAGTTCCCTAGGTCCTCACCTTGAATATGGATTCTAGCTGTCAGAAGGCTCTCTTACTTGCTATGGTCTTCCAAGCAGGAGAGCACCCTCACAGCAATATCAGCCAGCTCCCTCAACATGGCTCATATGCTGTGTGTTTTTCCCTGGATGTGTGTACACACCATGTTCCTAGCTCTCTAGCTCAGTCTTCCTTTGTATCAATTGTCGTCCAAAGGCTGAATGCTGTGAGTATGCCCTCTCTATCAAAAGGTGCAGAACCAGTTATAATTTACTTTAAGTCTTTTTGACCACTAGTGATGATCAGGCAGAGCTACCGTATCACTTGTTTTGTCGCATGTGTGGAATACATAGTTTTCTCTTCTTTGTGACTCTTAGGTAACTGAAACATTACTGACGTTTCCTTCACTTTGCAGAAGTTAGGGCTGTGTCAGGAATAAAAACACTGGTGTTCTGGACCTCTTCTTTCCATTGACGAGAAGAATTCCAGTGCTGCTTGCCTTTTGGGCAGGGCTGTCCGCTAGGCTGGTAGACTTCTTTTTTTCGACGTGTCTCCATTAGTCTTTGAAAGTGTTTCTGTTGGGAAGATGAATAAATGCCTTGTCAGATACAGATTCTCACCTTTCTTAGGGTTCTAGTGAGTTCTGATTCCCGTTAGGTCAGTCACTTCACACAAGTCTCAAACATTACCATTTGGTAGCACTAGTATTTCACAAAAAAAAATTCCTTCCAAGAGCCAGAGGCCTGATAGGTCGAGAGGAACATTCATTTGTTGCTTCTCATTTTCATTAGTTTATTCATCCAAGAGTCACAGTGGTTCAGTGATGGCACCCTGTTGAGCACGTATGATAACTTTTGGGTCAAGGAACTCAGAAACACATATGGAGAGTGTTTCCAAATCCACTGGCTTATCTATAGGATTTGGTTGCTTATACCAGTACAAGCTTTCATTGCTTAGTATCCATTATCACTATTTCTGCATCTAGATTGTTTATAGGGAGGATTTGTTCACTGAACCTCAAGGATTAGTTTTTTACCTTAAGTTAGCTAGTTAGGAGTGAATCATCCAGAACTTTAAAAATCACTAAAGGGTTTTTCTCTGAGGTAGGTGTAACATTACAACAGCTTTCCAGGAGGGAAAAAGGTGATGTTTTGTTTTTGCTTTACTGAATCTCAAGAAAGAAACTTCATCAGTTTCTAATTACCATTGTCTAATTTTCAGGTGATTTGTAGCTCAATGCAACTTCAGTGCAAAACTAAGGCTACTTTTTAAGCTGGTTTTATGTACAGAAATCTTACCGGGAAACACCAAAAGGAACAGGGAAAAATTGATTAGCTATTCTGAATAAATCTTGTGAATTTTATTAATTTATTTTAATGTGATACGTAAGAGACACTGCATGAGAAGGTTACTCTTGAGTTCTGTACTTGTCTGGGCAAGAATCAAGTGGAGGATCTCTGTCTGCTGACAGTGACAGTGCAGTGAGACCAATTACTTCCTAGAGAATTCAAGGGAGGTTGTGTTCCATAGGGTTTCTGAACAGTGTTACACATTAAGTGGTGACTATAGCTACCACTTAAGAGAGTATTCTTCTGCCTAATTTTGCAGGTAGCCATAGAGATCTTCTGAAAAAAAAAAAAAAAACAGAGAAACAATTTGATGTTTTGTTAGAAATTATTTTCTCTTTCATAGCAATCTGAAGGTTTTGTTAATCTGTTTCTTCATCAATGTTTTTAGCATTGTTAAGGGGATATCAAAATGCAGGTTTGTTCTCATCCTGCAACAATGGCCAAGAAAGCATTGTCATGTACATGGAGATGTATGAAGGCATCAAGGGCTGAGGTGTAGCAGCAATAATGTTTTTTTATTAATTTTATACTAAGTAAATCTTAAAAGGAATAAAAATAGTACCACTTTAAACTAAAATACCACTTCAGGCGTAAGTGTTTACACAGTGTATATTCTAGGGGAGGGAGGAGTTGGAGGGCTATGAACTTCTAGATTTTTCTTCAAGTAGTAAAGTCTGTCATCACTGTAGATTGTACATATAACCTGTTACTTTGAGAGAGCGGACAGTCTTGTGTTTTTTTTTCCCCTTAAAACAAAGTATAGGATAGGCATTTACACCTTATCCTCAATCAATGGTGTTCATGTTCAGCAAGTGGTCAAATAGAACTGTGCCTGAAGAGCTTTTTTCCCTATGACTTTTCAGCTGCTAAACTACCTTTTTCTTGTGGGTGACTCAAATATCTCCTTTAAGTAACCTTTTTGTGCTTTTATGACTCAGGAGGCATGAATTCTCTTTAAAATGTGTACAGGATGTTTACATGTCTTTGGGGATGTGTTTCTCATAACTTATTAATTTATTATTCTTTTAACTTGACGTGTGACATCCTTGGGAGCTTAAACTGCAAAATTATTGAAGTTGATAAAAGTGCCTTTTGCTATTGTATTTGTAATCGGACCACTCAGCACCAGGGACATTATGCTCTGTGGTTGTCCTCTGACAACGTTAATATCAAATAGATGTGGAGACCAGTTACGGCTATCTGTAGCAATGCTGTGCTAAACAAAGGTGAAAAAAATTGATGCATAGCCATCCTTGCCCTTGGTCCTGGCCTGGAACATTATTTTGTCTGTGACTATCATAGTTCAGCCCCAGAACTATCAGTTTTGCCTTTTCTTTATTGAGCAGCAATCAGTCTGTTGCCTTTAAACCCTTCACTTCTATTTCTTAAAGTATTGTAGCCAGTATGATGATGGGTTTATACCAACAAACATATTTAGTATGTATCATTTCTGATTTAGTACTATCAGTATTATTTAGTGCAATTACTATTCAATAGCTAACTGTTAAAGATACACAGGAATATTAAGGAGCTCTTTATACCTTTTCAGGTGCCAACTACCAAAAATAAATAATGAAAATTTCATAAAAAATTGAAATTTTACTAAAGTCTTTTTTTGAGTGTAGAGCTTCACCAACTTAAACATGATTATATATATATATATTTTTTTTTTTTTTCCAGTTTCAGTGTTTCATAGAATAGGGTCAAAAGGGAAAAATCTGTATGTGTGTGTTGGTTAAATATTTATCTAGAAGTTCATGTTAGTGTTCTTTTTAATGCCTTTTATAGCTGACAACCATACAACAATCCCTAAACCTGTTGCAAAAAGATAAAGATTATCTTAATCGCCAGAACATGGAGCTTAGTGTTCGCTGTGCACATGAAGAAGATCGTCTTGAAAGACTTCAGGTTCAGTTAGAGGATGCCAAAAAAGCTAGGGAAGAAATGTATGAAAAATATGTTGCGTCCAGGTAAGTTAGTATGTCTTAACTTCTGTCAAGTAGTCATTATTTAACTTTTACCTTGTTTCTTGCACAAATCCTGTTTTAAAATACTTAGCTTCCAGAAAACTAGCCTATTTTTGTGTAACTAGAAATAGAATGCTGCTCATGCTTTTAATGTGTATATATATGTGAGGAAAATTTTCTTAAAACTTTGATATAAGACTACAGCAGTGAAGGTTTCAGTACTGAAAGCTTACAGCAACAATGCTCTTTAGTAAGGTAACTGTAATTAATTGCAAAAAAAAAAAAGAGAAATTATTCTAAGTGCATGTTTCACCTCTTTCATTGACAAATGACCTTTATTAAAAAACAGGAATGTTTGAAAAGATAATCTAAACCATTTTTACAGAATAAAATATATTTAATTTTCACAAATGTTTAAAATAGGACATAGTTTGTTTCGTATCAGCTCTCAGTCTTTCATATCTCAGGTCTGAATACAGATATTCTAACGTTAGCCTAGAGGAACAAATTGACCATTGTATGCTAGTCATTCATTACATGTATGTGGTAAATAGTGTCCAATTTTTATGCTATTTGAATTGATATTGGCATATGTAGTATTTCCTATTTGACATCCTGTACATTATTAACTGATATGTCATGCTACAAATATAGTACTATACTATAAAACTTTAGACCACATTTAGATTTTTCTTATTCAAATTTCAAGGTTATCCAGTTCATGGATCATCTCCATTTCTCTACATCTAGATAACAAAAATACTATTTCAAAATTTACCCCAAATATTTTCAAAATTTACCCCAAAATTATATCAGGTATTTGCCTATATGTAATTCATTAATGAACATACAGCCCTTTTTTGGTTAGCAAGGTCCTTAGCAAAACAGCTGTGGGTTGGATGAATCTCCTCTTGAGCTTCGAGTATGAAGCCAGTTCAGCTTTCCTTCCTTCTATTTGAATCAGCAAGATGCAAACAGCATCTATAAATCTTGTGTCCTTTCATAACTAAGATGAAGTGTCCTAAATACGACTCTCCTATAACACAACTAAAAGACAAATTGTAATCTAAATGGAAATATAAGAGCACTCTACTGAAATTACCAGCTATGGGGTTCCAGTTTGTATTGCTTATCAGAAGTCTATCTAAGTATTACTCCTTTCCCTACAGTTGCTTCAGCAGCAGCTCAGTGTTCATTAAAAGGTGCTTGGCAGGTCTGTCAAGCTGCTTACTTAGAAAATTTCCTTTAAACAAGTGGTATCACTTGTTTATTTTAGTTAAAATAAAAATAAGTGTCACTTTTAACTGTCTTCTGGTGACATCACTGGGGGTGTTCAGGGCTCTTCCAGATTCTTCTAAAATTTTCAGTGAACCTTCCTGACTTTTAACAGTCTTGCTACTGGAGGGAAGTATAATTTCTGCAACTGTAGAAATGATGAGTAGTTATGGTAATAGCAAGTGGTAACAATAATAAGTTGTTGCCATCTGAATACAAAGAAGATGATAATGCTAGTTGATTCTGTAAGAGTTGTGTCCTGATCTTCAGCATTTGTTTCCTTTCTGTTCTTTTCATAATGGGAAAAAAAAATTCTAATGTGCATTTCAGTGCAGTGTGTTTTTTGGGTCATTAACTTCTGTATTGTATCAAAGATCTTCACAAAATACCTTGCTATAGAGTGGTGCGCTTGAGTAAGGAAGGGAGAAATATTTACTCCGAAGAGCCACCTCAAATTCAGTGTCTTAATTTAAAGAAAAAAAAAAGCATGAAAACCTGAACAGCATACGTTCTGTAATATGTAAATAGTTTTATGCGTTTGCTCAATTCAGAGGAAGTTTTTGGCCAGTTCAGGTGCTGATTTCTAAAAAGTACAAGGTATTCCACAACTGGAAATCCAAAGGAATCGAAAACCTTTTATGGCTGTAAATGCATATTTCTTCATATACGTGCTTTTATTTCCAGACCTATAATGGCTACCAGTGGCTTCATTGTGGATTGATTATTCTTGAACAGTAGCTAAGTGTCAGTATTACTCTGAAATGAGACGATTTATCCTGGAATCTTCTGATATTTGCTACTTAAAAATACATATTTATTTCAGTTAATTTATTTGTAATATTGACAGGATAAATAAGTAAATCTCTTCTTTTTAGTTTGCAAATTTCAACAGCACGTAGTCTTCAGTGTTTCTTACAATGTTTTACCCCTAGGATGAGGTGTAAATAGCACACAACAAAATATTGCAGTATGGCAGTATTGTAGTTAAGTTTACTGACCCTTACCCTTATGAAGAAGCTAGAAAATGTTGGGAAGTAAGTAACTAAAAATCCTTTTAAGTGGTTAATTAATATAAACACTCATGTAGAGGGTGACAAAGGATTTCTACATTAGAAACTTTACATACTGTAAAGTTTGTGGAAAGCTCTTGTTACTGGTAAAATTTTCAGTAAATTTGCAAAGCGACAGGCTAGTATGTCATCTAAGCAAAGTTGCAGGAAAATGAATAATAATCAAAATAAACTGTGAAATGTACTGCTGCAACTGAAGCTTTGATATTTTGGCCATGCAATTCATTTTAAATTCCCATGTTGATGATCCTTATGGGTCCCTTCCGACTTGGGATATTCTATGATTCTATGTCATTTGTTTGTGTTTTTTTTGTGTTTTTTTTTTTTTTTTTTTTTTTCCATAGGGACCACTATAAAACAGAATATGAAAAGAGACTTCATGAGGAGTTGGAACAATTAAGACTGAAAACAAATCAAGAAATAGAACAACTTCGAAGCACTTCAAAAGAGATGTATGAACGTGAAAACAGGTAGATAAAATGTGGCAATAAGCTAATTAAAACAAACTTGCAAGTACTGTTTTGTGCTGGAGTACAGTATTAGTTGACTGGCTTAATGAGAGATTAATAAGATGTGAGAAATTAAGTTCAATTATAAAATTAATGAAAATCCTGTAAAAGCTAAGAAGAAACAAATTTGTACAGTAAAGATAAGTGTTAAATTTATTATGAAATGACTGACATTAACAGTGTTAGTGAAAAGAAATATTAGAAGTCATCTTGTAGATAAACTTCAGTGGTTTTAAGTTTCTTCAGATGTACAGTGTTAGTTAATTCATACAAAATGTGTTGATTTACGTGCCATGCTGTATGGACAGTCTTGAAAATGTGCCAGGAAACTAGAAAGGAAGGTACTGATGCAAAAAGCAGAGCAGGAAAAATAAAGAGAAAAACCAGTAAGACTGATACACTTCTAAAATTGATCTGTTTGAGACTTAGAGAATTATCATTCACAAAAGCATTCATTTCTTGTAAATTATAAAATCATCTTTTGAAGGAGATCCTAGTCCTGCAAAGACCTCTGGACTGAATTCTGTATTTTGTGTTGTCTTGTTAAATTCCACGGAATTATGTGCGGTGTTAGGCATTTATGTAAGTCTTTAGGGTTCCCTATAGGGACTTGGACTTTTGGTGCTATATTTATTTTTGAGCTTGTTTTTTTGCCACTTGTACCCCTTTAAAATGGGAGGAGCACTTAACAATTCACTATAAACTCATTGTGTCTTGTGTGGAAAAGAAAATAACCATAATATAAAGATATTTGTGGCATTAGCATCTGTTCTTCTAATAGGTAGCTTTGTTATTGCTCTGCGGAGTGAAAAAAAAAAAAAAAGAGCATGACTCCTGCTGTCTGTCTTCCAGGCAACTGAAAGTTTCTAATTAAAAATATTGCATCACTCTGTAATTTTGCAAGTGTAAAATGTATATATACGCACATATACATACGCACCACTTCCTCTGTTCAAATCTATATTGAATTACAAAGAATTATTAGACTGTTGGTTGAGTTTTGACATTGGTCTATGTATCATTTAAAAAAATTAACAACATTGAAGGAAATCTTCTTTGCATCTGGAACCAATTTACACTTTTTTTCTCGCTTTGAAATAGTTACTTTTGAAGTGTAAATCGCTTATATTTGACTTCACATTTCACAAGAAAAAGGATTTCTAGTGCATGCTCTTTATAAATTAATTTTGAAAAAATGTCACCAAAAGATGGTGCTTTCCCCTCAGTGTTGAGAAAGATGGAAGCCCAAATTAGGAGCAAAACAGTTTGAAGTGATGTGATATGATAAGATGCTGATTGCCTGTGACTGAAAATAAAACTAAGATGATGGTTTTATCTTAAAGCTCAAAGCATAGAAATGTATTAAAACTAAGCTAGTTTAATATTTAACTCTTTTCCTTCTCACTTTGAGAAATCTGACGGGACTGATGTTTTCCTTGAATTTATTGGTGGTCGTTTTACCCTTGGATGAGTCAGTCCAAGAATATAAAATAAGGGGTGGGGTGGGATCCAATAAAAGTGTGATAGAAACCAGAAGGAAACACCAACAATATGCAAAACCTGTATGACTAACTATGCAATTAGTTGCATGTGGAAGTAGGATTTCTGTGCCTGGCTAATCTTTTCCTTCTTTATCATAAAAGTTGTAAGTTATCTTAGCTAGAAGGGCACCATTCCCCTACTTTTTAGTGAAGTACCCAGTAAAATTATTGGAATGTATTGAATTCCTACCAAAAAAAAAAAAAAAAAAAAAAAATTCATAGTTCTCATATTCCAAATTGCTCATAGATTTCTAAGTGTAACTAGGTTGTTTGATCATTGTTTTCAGAATTTCAGAACCGGAAATTTTTCATTTTTGTTGCTATATATGAATGTAATGTGAAGTGTAATGGATAAGCATATAGACAGACAGCCCCCTATTGCTCTATTAAAACTGAAGTAGGTAGTATTGGAGTTGGGATCAGTCAGTAGTATTCCATGAAGCAAAAGTCTTTCTCCTAACAGAATACTGACAGAATACTTCTGTTTCCTTCAGAAATTTGAGAGAAGCAAGAGATAATGCTGTTGCTGAAAAAGAAAGAGCAGTTATTGCTGAAAAGGATGCTTTAAGAAAATATGACCAACTCTTAGACCAGTAAGTATCTTTTAAAAATGCATATAAATAAATCTAAAGGTGTAAGTACACCTATATCCAAGGAGTTTTAGGTAAGAGGAATTACTGGTTTGGCTTTCTGCTTGTGAAGAATAATTTCAATTGCAAAAATTTTGTTTAAATGAAGTTACAGATTTAATTTTAGTTGTAACTTTTTTTTTTGCATTACCAGTGTAGTAACAATGTGAATGCTTGATTCACGTCCTACAATCCTGTAAAGACATGCAACCTTAATTATGCCTCTTGTAGAAAGAAAAGATATATTTCATACTGCGCTGTAGCAGTGCTCAAACTCTTAACCTCCTCTTTGTCTTTAGTTGAAAGTAGTAAACACCTTTTATTATGACTTCAATTAATAATTTCTCTAAAACTGAGGATAGAGAGCAGTAGTTATAAAGCGTTAGCTTGCTACATGCTTTTCTTACTGCTCCCTTTTCTCCCTCTTTCCTAGTCAGCCTATAAAATACAGGGTCTGTACAAACTTATAGTGCAGTTCACATGGGGATAGGGGAACTATGACTGATTCTCTGCTGGTTTGCTGTCTGCCTTCTTGCTCTGCAGCAAATTTAGAATATCAGCTATTATTAGTATTAGTAAATTATGGCGTATTTAAGAATGATTGACCATAATCAAAGCTGTTCGGGGTAAGTTTGTCATATGGCCTTAATTTTGGGGCTTGTTTAATTGTTTAGTGTATATCTTTTTTTCCAAAAAGAAAAGGTCAGTGCATTAACCAAGTGTGCCACCCTATCATCTACTCAAAGGAAGTAGTTATGTGAACTTTTTTTTGCTTGGAGTTGTTTTTAATTGCATATAGTAATCAGATGAAGTGTTAATTTAATACAAGCACAAATTATTTAAAGCCCTTTTTTTTATGCAAAACTCCTGCCTTGCAGTGGCAATACTAGCAAAGAAATATCACTGCCCCAACATTAACCACAAAGGAATGAAAAAATGTCTGCACAGTCTAATGGTGTGAAACATGAGGTATAGTTCTAGAGTAAATAGGGTGGATTAGGGGACATGACATTCATGCTCAGCTTCAGGGCTTTGACTTCAGGTTGATTCTAGTTTGGGCTGAAAGCATTATAGGTGTTCTTAGATTCTCAAAAAGGAATTCAGTTAGCAAACTTTGAGATGACAGCTCCAGCAGAAAAATCTAAGTATAGAAATCAAAGCTGGTTGACTGGGCACAACCAGGAAACTTGGTTCAAAACTTATCTCCTGAACCAAACTAAAATGCTAGTACAAGTCAACTGTGTGTTTCTGATGAGACTCACAGCTTTCACTGTTATGACTCACTATGACTTGCAGAACTCATATCTAACTAGAAGTTCTCTGGAAAAATAGGTCTAGCTTATGATAATTTGAATGCGTATGCTTTCTTGTTTTTTAATGGAAGTACCAACTTTATAATTCTTACTATATTTTCAAATTTAAAAGCCATGTAGGAAATATTTTTCTGTTCTGCTATACTCCCATTTATATGATGTTACCTTTTTCATACTGTTGCTTTTTTGAGAAGAGAAGATACCCTGTAATCAGAAACATAAGAAACAATTTTGAAGGTTTTTGAGAAATAAGCTTCCCTCTTTAAAGGGGAAAAATAAGAAAACTAGTAATATGCTATTTACCATCATCTTGATACATACTCATGCCTCCATCCTACTGTAATTTTTTTTATTCATAAGTTCTTTCTTCCCTTTAAATGAGTTGATGAGTACTGATGTTGGAGCTCAAGGAAGTAGGTTACTCCTCAGATGACTATGCTTTTTAAAAAAGAAAACTCTGCTTGAGACAATGAAAAAGACGTACTTCTTTAAATTTTTATTTTTTTTTAATAGCATCCCTGCTAACCACAGTACAGGTGTCAAGACTGTGGCTTTTTACATATTCCAAATTATCTACCCTAATGAACTGCAAAGTAGCAAGTTGGCATGATGAGATGGAATAAATAAATTAAGACCCCAAAGTCTGAAGTTACTGTGGAAATATGATGGTTTTGTGGATAAAAAAAATAATATCTAATATAACCAGAATCCCCAACAATAAAAAAGGAGCACTTATGTTGTCCAATTCTATATTTAAGTGATTATAACTGCTAGTTCTGCTTTATTGAAAACAAGGTGACTCATCATAGTTACCACTGGTATCATAATCTGTATAAACAAACATGTTTGAAAGCTTCAGAAGTATGTGGAATGTTGACTGGCCTGAATTATGGTTAAATAAAGCCCCTGGCAAATCTTGTGATCAGAAGTGTAACTAATAGCCAATTTTCTAGTCAAGTGCAGTTATTTTCATTCTGCTTACTGATGTCTGTGATACCTTTTTGTAAATAGCCAGTTATGAATACCAATAAAATATTGAAGTGATAGTATTTGTGGAAGTGTTACACTGATAAACAATTGGTTGTTTTGACCTCAAAGTAGATCACTGTGATGTCAGGATGTAACATCGCTCTCTTGTTGCTCCCCTTGCTAATACACAGATGTGAGTTCTCTGTGAGAATGCGTGTTTCATTTATGTGCGACAATGAAAGAACAGGTTTGATATTTTGGCTTAAACAGTGGCAAATGTTACACGTTCTAGAAAATTGACCAAATGGAGACATTTTCACTTTGCCTCAAACTGCTCGTAGTGTGACTTAGAAGTTTTCAAATTTTAAAGCTACATTAACTCAATTGGAAGTCTCGGGGTTGAATGAGGAGAGCAACTCTAATAGTTCCATCTTCTACTACATAGCTAAGTGTAGATACTAAATATGTTCTAACTCTTCCTTCTTTTGAATATTTCTCGAGTGTTATTTTGAAAATATTGACTGTGTTAACCCCTTCCTGGTCCTTGTCAGAGAGAGGGGAGGAAAGTGACTGAAAAACAGAACAAAACCAGCCTTGCTTCCTATTGCTTTTTCCTACTAGTTAAATTTTCTAGTTTCATGTAAGATTAGAGGTCAAAATGAAATGGCTCCCATGGCAGGGTGTTCAAAGTGGAATCCAAAGTCTAATATGGGGTAAACTCATGCAAGAGCACTTCTCCTCAGGGTACTACAAGAGCTGCCTCTTGCCTTTGATTATTCACTTCCTTTCACAGAATTCCTTTAAAACTTAAGGAGTGTCATTTCTTTTTCCAGAGCTGTACAGCTTAGCTTTATCTGTGGAAACTGTCCAAAACAAACAAAAAAAATCAGCATTACTGGGAATACAAAGGAAATCCCTATGTGGTGTGATTTTTTAAAATTATTTTTATTTTTTAGAAGATTTTTTTTTTTTTTTTTTTAGTGACCAAACAAGAAAATTTACATTCTGCTACGGGTAGTTCATTGCTGCTAATGTGATATGCTACTCAAGGTGATTTTCTTTTTCTGTTTTTGGAATGATAAAATGAGATGTGTAAAAAAACAGAGAAATTAATAAACATGTAGTAAAAAGAACACTAAGAAAACTTTGTAGTGGCAACAGCATTCCTTCAACCTTGCAGTAGGCACTATTAAAAAAAAAAGAACACAACTGTTTTATGAAAGCTAATTGAGGGCTTAAATTACTGCCTCTGTCTATGAGGAAATAAGATATTTTTAAGTATGTACATGTGGCTTATTTTTTTAGTGTATTTAAATATGCAAAGATGTTGAAAGGGCATTTTAATATGATGTTTTTACAGTTGGGTTGAGCAAAGACGGGATGATGACTACAAAAAATAGTTTAGTCTTAGGTTTGTTGTACAAAGACTTCGAAAGATTTTGGCTTATTGTGTAAACATTTCTGGATTTATTTATATAGCTCATCCATTTAAAACTATTAGTTAAGTAATGAATAATCTGTTAAGGGAGGAAAACACCTCTAGGAGTATCTTTAGTGTTTCTATTTAGAAGTGCCTTTCTCAAGTAAAGAGCACAGTAGAATAAAAAGTTAGATAGTTGTAAGTAGGAAAAAAAAAAAAAGTAGAGTTCTCTATATGGTGGTGTTTACCTACTTAATGCTTTCCAGTCAGGTGCAGGGCATGTATGCATTTTGAAGACTTAGTCTGCCCTTGAATCTTAAATATTAGAATCTTTATTCCCCCTTTTGTCTTTTTTTCTTCGTAATGATAGTTCTTATTTTTAGAATTCATTTGGAGGTGAGATTAATGTTATCTGACATTAGTCATCTGTCTTAAACTTTGTAGGTGATCAGGAGAGGTGATCAATCCTGTTTATAAAATGGGTATTTAAGTTAAGTGAAATGAAGATCCCTATACCTTTTGTATTAATTTTAAACAAGACTAGAGATGACTATTTTTAGACGATAAAATCATTGGATAAATTTACTGAGTAAGTAAATGTTTCTTTTTGTTTAGAGTCTCTGAGTATGCAGGAATGTCGTGATTAAAGGTAGCATTTGTTACGTTATACATCCATTTTTAATAGAAACATGAAAAGTAATTATTTGCCCCTTTTACTAATATGTTTTAATAATCTGGATGTTGATGACTGCAATCACAGGAGTCTAATCATAAAATGATTAAGTCAATGTATTTTACTGCTCATGCTTAAATACGAACCTATTATCTCTTCAAAAATGTTTGTATAAAATATTTTAAACAATTAATTAAAAATAACAACCTTCAGGCCTAAGTATTTATTTGCCAAAGCTGCCAGAACCCAATATAAAAACTACTGCTGTAACCTTGTACTCCCTAGATGTGACTGCGACTTTTATATATGAAGTACTTTATAATCCTGTGCATCGAAGAGCTACACAGATCTTGAAATTACTGCATAAAATTTTCAGTTTCAATTAACATCGGCAGTATATTCTAAAATACTTTTGTTTTGTAATAATCATTTGTTGTTGCTCTGATAATTTGTGACTTCTATAGCATAATGTGTATATCTTGATAACATCAAAGACTTGTATCAGAATAAAGCTGAGCCATTACCTGTCATTGTTAGACCTAGTCTAGATTTCAACCATAGTCAGTGTATCTACTACACACTTCCCATT